TGTAATTTAAAAAAAAAAATTAAAATGGTGCAGTCTCGGGTCAAGTTCATTTGTACCTCTTTTCTCATTTATTTTTTCTTCTTATTTCCTTTTTCAAATTATCGACGGAAAATGCTGTTCTACGTATTTTTTATGCCAAGAAACGTGTGGTAATTGTCATCAACTGTGTGCATATTCAATTTGCACGATTTAACGCTATTTGTCAACACATCATAGGATATACATGGTTCCTGCAATCTTTAAAAAATGCAATTTCATGACTTTTCCAAAACTTTGCCAAGACCTTTTACCAATTTCAAGAGTACCTATTACGACTAGTATAATACGTATCTAACACATATATTTGACACATTTTTTTAGCTGGCTTTGAGCATATATGATGATATCGAATAAGTCATACTATTTCAAGCGCTGTGAGTACCATGATTTTGAACGGCAGTAAGATCCACGGATGTTGTCTGACTGTGAAATTTTAGGCAGTTTGTTAAATCTTTTGCATTGGTGAACAAACATATGACCCGATAATGAGAAATAACCAAATTCCATGACCTTTCAAAAATTTTGAAAGACTTATGAAAATTTCAAAATTTTTCAAGGCCCTTGAAATGCTTTTCCAGGATTTCCATGAGTAGAGAAACTCTGCATGTCGGTCAGTACCCGAGAATACCAACACAAAGTAAACTACTGGCAAACGTTCTCACATACCAAGGTTTTGGAGCAAAGACGTGACGAAGAGAGGTGAGATGTGTGAGAAATCGATAAAGGCGAGCGCCTTTGACCACTCGGCTACATAGAACCCTACCACGTTCAGTTGACCGCAAACCTTCATACATCCTAGTTTCGTCTAGGTTTCTGGTAAAGAAATAAATCTAACTGCTCCTTATTAATCCCCGACTGACACCTTTTCACCGTCATCAATCAAGGAAATTAACGAACCGTTGTAAAATTTGTAAATATTTACAATAACCAATTAATTATTGCGAAAATCATCCTGTCAGAGGAAAAGTGCGGACGTACACAATCCCTGGAGGTGTTCGCTGAGGTGTTCGATTAGCGTGATAAGTGGCGATTTGCTAGTTGCACAATTGTCTGTCTCTCTATTTGTGGAGTTCTATAGTTTCGTGCTTTGCATATGTTTAGAATTTTAAAGAAAAATAATTTCCCCGGATTTCCTTACTCGTTATGCTGGTCATTTTAAAAAAAAAAGTCTTTATATATCTTAGGTATAGTTCAAAAACCCTTTAATTCCTTTATTTTGGTGTATGATTGATGGGTGTAATATGAGTTATAGAGTATGGAGCTTGGCCTTACCCCAGATATGCACCTTTAAAAATGTGCTAGCTCCGCTTGTTCATTTTCACTTCCTGAATTTCAAAGGTAGATTGCATAAAGAAAAGAGCCGATAACTTTTTTTTACATTTTATGTATTTGTTAATTCATTCATTGCTCTTTCATAAGCGGGAATTGTTTAGTCTGGTAAAATTCATTTTCCTTGTTTTAGTAGCTGCTACTGATAATGTACTTAAAACTAATTCAGGCTGATTATTTTAAAACAAGGGAGCAGTCATTTTAGTTAGCAGTGTGCTTAAATCATGTACAGTTTCCAAAATTACATTATCCAAAGAAATGTTAGCCACATTAGATTAAAGTAGCATATAGGTATGCCAACGTTCTCTTCACTGTGCGTTTTTTTAAATACATTCAGAAATGACTGTCGATCCAGTTAAATGCAAAATAAAGTTAATTGTTTCTAAAGTTTCAAGAATGCAATATCGGTCACACTGAAAATGGATGGGGACAGATCTCTACGTTTTGTTATTGAAGATAGTGTCGAGCAGGCAGAGTCGATACAGTAAAAGCGGTGGTAGCGAAATTAAATTTATGTATCTAACAGTAACGAAATTTGTTTCAAACAACAACCAGCTGCTTCAGTGTTTAGAAAATCAGTAATCTGACGAATAGTTTAAAAGATTAAGATTAAAATTGTCAGTATGCTACTTTGAATTATAAAGTTCATAAGAGTCTTATAGTTCATAAGAGTCATACTGATCAGAAAGCCAATGATGAAAAACATTCGAAAGATAACTATAATTTTGGACAAGGAGACAAGAAAAACTTTGAAACGGGAATGTTGTTGTATTAAAAAGTATGTGGACAATATTAAAACTCAATCTGTCATAGCAATATTTCCTTTTTAGCAATTTCAAAGTCTCAATAATGACAAAGGGTTAGTTGTGAACGAAAGATTTCATCGCGCACGTTACCCAATTAAAATACTGCCGATAATGACCGAGGCACACAGAAATGGTGTACGTAACGAAGACTCGAGAACTTATCATCCATGGTGAAGTTTGCTCGATACACAAATAAAAAGTTTTTGTGATTTATGTAAACCTTATGTATACGTATACGTATAGCATCATGTCCTTTGGCGAGACTCGAGAACGACGTCCTTGTGGTTTTTCTCCACCTCACGTGAAGAACGTTGTTCGAGAACCGACAAGAACCTCGTTCTCGCGTTGAGAACAATCCACCTCTGAAGCGGGAGTAAGCATACAAGAACAAAGATGATGGAGTATTTAGTACCGATGCAATTTCTCAAGGACATACTAAAGATGGGTCTTGTGGTGACGAGATACATAAAAATACACACAATATTGCTCATGCTGTTCAGGGCTAACTACGGTTATATAATTCCAATTTTTATAAATTAACTGGGTTTTCTGCAATGTGGTTCCATCAAAATTGGTCACGTGATACAGCTCCCAATCTGTTTCCAGTGCACTAAGGTTGAATTTCTGCGTATACTAATTCCTTGTACCATAATTATAGCATAACAAGCCCTGATCAACCCTGTGATTTCATATACAAAATTGCAACCCAAGATTAAAATCGCCGTTGAGAACTTCATATAATGTAATCTCATCTCACATTTATTCACGGATTGCAGAGAAAACAATTAGAGATGTAATCATCAGAAAAGAAGCAGTCCGGATATAATTTACATTTTTATATATAAGACATTTTGAAGAGAAAGAGCATATAGATTTTAATTAAATTAAGAAATATTTCCTAATTGTTTTAAAAACCCTTGAAAAATTGTGGACGTGATATTGATACAGAAATTTCTAATATGTTTGGTGCCGCGTAGTACAAATGATTTAGTTCACTTATAAGTGTTCATACGGATACAACAGACGAATGCTTTATTCGGGTTATTGGTTTAGTAGATCAAGATAATAGTTTTAACTGTGCAATTCCATCAGAGCAAATTTCAAAAAGTATTTAACCGCTAAAGATTTGTGTTTCGTGCTTCACTGTTATTGAGATTACTTTATTAGTCATATTATTTCGACGTGGTGTTTTATAAGTTTGGGTATAGAATTTATTAAGTATGTACTATTAATAAAGTAGATCCTGCCAAGCTTACAGAAGTATTGCCTTTATAAAATTTTAAGTGTAACTATTTCTGCTCTATCTTGAAAAAGCGATCAAGTAATTGGTCGCAAAATAGCAATATCATAGACAGGCATAAGGCAGGAATTACAGGAGATACTATTGATGAAATTTGGGCACGGAGGCATTGGCGCAAACGTATACAGAAATAGTGCAAAGTTAAAAATTTAAATTTTTGTGTTCTTCTAAAGCGTTTGAGAACGTTTCGTGTCATATATTGTGGCAAACATTTATTTTCAATATTGGTGAAGGACATTTGTCGATGTCGTAAAGTTAATTTTTTGCCCTCTTAAACTTTGTGATAAAAGTATAGGTGGTTTGACTTTGCTTAATTGCAACATTGTACAAAGGCAAAAACGTGTCATCAGTCCTTTTATGTATTCATTAATAATTACTAAATCATATTTATGAAAAAATACAGAGGTGTTTATATTTCTGATGATGTGCCTGAAGTATTTGCAGTATTTAAAGTATTACATGCGACGATGGCAAATAATATAAATTGAAATTTTATTTTTTGTAAGTACTTTGAAATGAGAAATCAGCTATGAGAAATGAGACATCAACTATGAGAAAGAGAAGATTATTCTCTGTAGAAACGATGGTCATTTGGGAAATTATGAACAATGTTTCTTTCAGGGAAAACCTATATGCTATTTCATAATATAAATGTAGTTGAGAACTGTTTACACATAAACAAGATTGAATAAGAGCAAATGAGACGCTGGCTGCTCAAGCAACAAAATGTATTGGTGGAATATTTAGGTAACATAGTAAATTTGGATATTTCATTAAAAAGTATACACTTTTTGACAGAATGAGAAAAATGCAGTGCTTTGTTAGGGTGTTGAACTTTAGGGTTTCCAGTATTCAGAACATTACTTATGCAACTTATCGTGATCGATGCATTAAAACAGTATGGATAAGAGAAGTTATCCCGTTATCTGCTACACTGTGCAAAACATTTTAGATGACAGTGGTAGATAGACTTGGGCTAACGATGTTATAAACATATACCAGCTTCTCTGTATTTTTTCAACGTTTCAAGGATGCATGACATAAAATTGGTAATGTGTTGTTAGCAATTCTGCAATTGTTTCCGGTATGAATATTTTAAATTGTTATCAAATGATGAACGTTGTCATGGTATCACATTATTTGTGGACCTCATTAACTGGATTTTGCTGCTGTAGCATGGTGAGAGAGAGAGAGAGAGAGAGAGAGAGAGAGAGAGAGAGAGAGAGAGAGAGAGAGAGAGAGAGAGAGAGGGTGTGTGTGTGTGTGTGTGTGTGTGTGTGTGTGTGTGTGTGTGTTTTGGGTATTTAACGTAGTTTTAACAATTTTTATGTCATATCGATACGATATCTGCAGTGTGGCAGTTAATAGTGATGTCTAGGACTGGTGTATCATGCCACAGACATATAGCATGATGTCCCACCCAGTTATATTATCCTGACACCAGGCCGAACAGTCCTAATACTAACCTCTTAATGCTGAGCGCCTAACGAGGCAGTTCTTGCTACCATTTTTAGATAATATTTTGATATTACACGGCCGGGGTTCGAACCCGCTACCTCTAGCATCAGAGGCGGACGCTCTAACCACTAGGTCACTGGAGCGGAGATAAAAACAATGTTTCACTGCGTTTCATGCTAAAAGAAGGTTGTACACACTATACTGATTAGTGCGACATATGGAAATAATTTCAACCATGAGTAACAAAGATACTGATGTATTTATATTACAAGAATAAATGCTGAAAAAAGTAACGCGATCAAATTATATGAGAGCGAGACTGAACAAACTTATGAGAGAGAGAGAGAGAGAGAGAGAGAGAGAGAGAGAGAGAGAGAGAGAGAGAGAGAGAGAGAGAGAGAGAGAGAGAGAGAGAGAGAGAGACTGAACAAACTGATAATAGATAATCTGAAAACTGGCACACTGTATACGAAACAAAACTCGTTGAACTCAATATTCAAGTTATAGTTGCATCTGCTGTATTCAATAATTTTCCTTTTTGTCGCATTAATTGTTAGTCCATCTGTGATTTGACTCAATGGACAAGATTTTGAGGGACTGAACAGAGCTAAACTGAAAATCGTTGACGAACTTTGTAATAACCTCCATTTTAAATTGCATTTGTTGAAGAGACAAAAGCTTCCATATTAAGACGTACATGATCCATCTCTGACACACATACTATTCCTGATATCGTACTTAACTCCTGTAGACGAACTGTATAATATATATATATATATATATATATATATATATATATATATATATATATATATTTATATATATATATATATATATATATATATATATATATATATATATATATAGAAGTTGGGTTAGAGTGGATATCGTTTGAAAGGGAGGGTCTAAACAGGTAGACAAGTAGTTTATGTGACGGAACTCATTGTGGGGCACCAGGAGGCACCAGGAGATGAATAGCTCCGAAGCTTCGGTGTTTCCAGGTCATACTTGTCACCAACTAGCTGTAAAGAAAAGTTACTGTAGGTAACGTTCCTGTTGCTTTGTGCGTATAGGGTAGAGAGGCTGACTGTGTCTGTTTCTCATTGTGTATATAGTCAAAAATGTTTATATAAAGTTTTAATATAATACATTAATATATTAATTTTTAATGGAAATATCAAAGGAACTACTGAAGGATAAACTAAAAAAAATTTCCATCTACTTTAACAATGTTGCAATTTATTCAGTTACGTTGTTTGTTTAGTTTCCTACTTTTCAAATACAATGAAATATTTTATTCTATACCCATTCTTATAACACTAATTCCAACATGAAGCATGTAGAATTGTGCTAGAAGCAGTCAAATCCTTTTTAAAACAATCGAAATCGGAAAACTTTAAAAATGACGTTGGAAAAATAAAATTGATAAAATGTCTCAGAATATACCATTGTTACTGCAGTTAACTGCAGGCATTGGTTTCATCGAATTGATAGACAAGAAACAAAATTAAAGTTTCGTGATGGATATAAGCTTAAAAAGTCTGACACCTTTGGCTAGATCTATCTTATACCAATTCATTACCTGCAGACCAGAATCTTCTCCCACTAGAGGTGAGAAACGGTCATTTAGATTGTACTCGGAGATTCGAACATAGGATCAGTGCATTACCAGTACCAAAATATTTCTTAAACATTGAGTCTTTGTTGTGGTCCACCAAATTCACACCTTTTAAGAGCCATTTGTCGCTAAATACAGTTGGTCTCGTGGTTTACCTGAAACAATTGAAAAATTTTAGTCTGTCTCTTGCTAATATTTTGAAGCATTCGTATTTCACTATAGCCTCTTTGCTATTTTATTGGTTGCTTGCTTGTTTAATTGTGTATGTATTTTTTTCTGTGGTGTGCAAGCTGATTACCAACTATGAAAATTACAAAGGGTTTGTCGCATACATAATATAGTGTTAGAAATAAATTAAGTTTCAAATAACATTTAGAACCTGTTAACAGATTTGTTTCTGATATATGAATCATCTGGATACAACCTAAAGTATATATTCTATTCACAAAGTACCTAATAATTGTTGATAATGATTGATTGATCAGTGTACAACATAGATTTTGAAACAAGGATTATAAAGTTCCACTTTTTCGAGAAAAAATCTGCATCTTACGCTTACAACCAAATCAAACTTTTATTCTTCTATATTATGGCGGCAAATAAGTAATGCTGACTTGCGCATTAACCTGTGCAATTTTCTTAGTACGAAGATGTTCCGAAGTCTGGACGTAAAAAATTGCATTCCTAAATTCGCATAACCACGCGTTTGCTTGTGTCCCTCCCCCCCCAATAAAAATTAAAAATAAAAGCATCAAGTATATAAAAAATGCACAAAAACGTGGACATTTCATTCACTAATTTTTTAGCCTGATTGTCGCCACGGGGCCACTAACACCGTTGGATTATTGGCGTTTCAACGGAAACGGTGGCTCCACATGTAAACAAGCAAGCAGACTGCTCGCTGTCTATTTCTTGCTCCTTAAATATATCGTCTGCGCCCAATATGTATAGTGTCAAGTTTCAATATTTCTAACACAAATTAAACAAATAAATAAGGAGGAACTCTTGTTTAAAGAGATGAAAACAGAGACTGGCCTAAGCAAATATGCCGACAGTGTTGCTAAAGAAACTCCCTTTTGATTCGAAACACCAAATTGATTGTGTATAGGACTCTCTTGAGACAAGCAGGTTTGCAATTATAAATCAGTGAACGAAATGACTTAGTTTTGTGCACTGTTTATATCTTTGAGGCTTTCTGTTTTTAAAATCGGTGGTGTAGTGGTGGTGATGTACAAACAATCAAGATGGTATCCAAATATATTGCGAGTAAACAGACCATTGCACAAAACTTACATTAAAAATGATAATCCTAAATTCATTCTCACGAAACTCAGAATGAAGTTTTTTCATGTTCTAATCAAAATGTTGGCCTCGAAATGTCTCTGCGGAGTACTTAATTTGTCGGCAAATCAAAGATTTATCTCTTCATTATCTGCCTTAGTGCAAACCATGTCACAAGGGAATTCGCCAGAACATTTGGAGTTACCCATATTTATCGAATCTATATCTCAGTACTGCAAAAATATTCCTGTATGAATAAGATATCTTTTCATCAATTGCCGGCCCACTAGTAAAATTGCTTATAGAGACACGTTTGGATATCCGATTCCTGGTTATAATTACCAGTGAAAATGGTTACCACATATTGTCGGTAACGCTTCATAAAAATTCACAGAAGCCTTGTTCATTAAACAGAAATCTTTTGCAGTTTTCTTTTTGGTTCATTTAAACTGATTTTTCATAATCGTTCATCATCTCGGTTGATGCAAAATCCATTTGTGAATGATTTTACAGTACAACCGATGGAAAAGGCATTACTGGAATTCCGTCTTCCCAAATCCTCGTCTGAACATTGGTTTCACTTGGGTTTTGTAGCCATATAATTAATTAAGTGCAATAACTCCAGGTCGTTTCGTTTAAAGTTTATTTTCCAATCCCACATTAAAGTAAGAGTTATACACTGTCTTTTAAAATACTGACTCAACAAAATATTCTTACCAAGAATTTAAACAGCAAATTTTAAAACCTGCTTGTGTGATCATGAAATAAAACATTCATATAATACACTGGGTTAAACTTTAAGTTAAAGGTGAAAAGAGGGTCATGCATTTTAAACACTGAGAAACTATTTTATTATTTTTCTGATGCTGAATATAGTATTGTCGAGCAGATTTTCGATTGCAAATTTGATTTTACCCTTCATGTCAGGAAGTTTGTTCAGACGCGATATTAATTTTAAAATAGAAAAGAATTATTAGATTTTACACATTTGAAATTCGTACGTAATTTAGATTCCAGTCTAGCACGAGACATAGCAAATAGTAACGCTTTCTCACCTTGTCTCTCCTCTCTTACTAAGATTGCTCAAGTATGAGAGAAATTTTAAATTGATTTACCAAAAACCAATGGCGTAGCTGAGATATTTTGACACTTAAAACATGGAACAATATTCAGATCTTATCAATGGGCTCCTGCAATGCTATAGCAATTTTGTGGGTGGTGTATTGCTTGTTCCTAGTTTCTTTCTACAGTGTAAAAGCTAATTTGTTTATATGGGCTCGTGTGCTCGTGTGTTCGTGTGTTCTGTGTATTTATATTATGAATATCACATAAGGCTTAACTTGTATATAGCTACCCTGAGATTTCTAACCAATATATATATATATATATATATATATATATATATATATATATATATATATATATATATATATATATATATATATATATATATATATGTATATATATATAGAGATAGATATAGATATAGAGATATATATATATATAGATATATATATATATATATATATATATATATATATAGATAGATATATATATATATATATATATATATATATATATATATATATATATATATCTATATATATATATATATATATATATAGATATAGATAATCAAGGGTATAGTTGAAAAATTATCGTACCACAAGTTTTTTCTTCCAACCTAGGTCATTTGGTTATGCACATTTATTTAAATATAGCACTTTCTTCTTTGTGCAAACAAACTTACGATTATTGCAAAACATTTAAATCATTATCGTCATTCACTTCATTTAACTTTCTGACAAAGAAATGGCTTATAACTATCATTTCATTCATTATTTAACATGCATTCATCGTCCAAATGAAAACTGTTTATGATCGAAAACTGAATATATTCCGTAATCTAGAACACTCCTTGTAAACATAATTGTGATCCAATAGAAATGTTCAGATTACATAATAAACGTTAAAAATGCTTTTAGGAACAACATGGATACTTCGTCGTACATAATTAGTAAAGTAGGGCAGGGATTTTGAAGTTTTGTTATACAAATATATTCTACTGGAATTTGATACAAGCATTTTTTGCAAAATACCCTGATTATAATGTCATATTTATTAATAACAAAATATAAACTTCATTACCTCATCCTTATTAGTATTTCATTGTGAGTGAATCAAAAGAATATACTCTTTTTTATCCATTTTATCTACGTCACACTTTTAAGGTAAATGGAATCA